ATATATATATATAATATTCATTAAATAAATTATATGAAAAAAATTAAAACTTACCCTCTTAATATATTAGTCAAAAGCCTTACGCACGGCTCGGTCGAAGGTCCATACGCATGCTAGAGAGCTCCTCTTCCTCTACACACCATCTGGCCTGTTCTCTGCAGCGCACAAGCCTCCCGCTCTGCTACACCGTCGCTCTCTTCCATTTCTTCTTCTTCATCTCAATCGACCGGGATCAAGCTTCACTACGCACGTAAGAAGCTTTTCCTGCACTCGCCTCCTCTTCTTGATAGCAATGCTGCCTCCTTTCTGCTCGACAGCGGCATTGTCTACCTTCGACTAGAGCCCAAATTAACCCTCACAGACGCATATGGTGCTTCCTCCCGTGGCTTTGATGCCTTCCCCTGCACGCGACAAAACCCTCAGCGTTGATTCCAACTTCTTCTCCTTCCTCTCAGAGTTTCAAAGTTAATTGTCACGAAAGGTGGTTTGTTCCTTTTTATAAGGCCGAAACACTAAGTTCAACTCCCTTGCTTTCATCTCCCCCGTGTTCATTTACTAAAATATAGAAGAGACAGATGCTCGATTACAAGGCGTTATAAGCGTCCCAACTTATAAAATCTCATCCTATAAATTTATAAACAACCATAATTCATCTCTCAATAGTAGGTCAACATGAATTGCCCATAAATTTCATGAAAAAGACTGAGGGTCATTCATTAAGATGAAAAGAAATCATTATAAAGAAAATATCTGATATAAGACAGCTCAACAATACTCCTAAATAACAGCAAATCTAAAATAACACGGTTAATGAACCAAGAAAATACGTTTGGAAAACAATCTTAAATGTAGAAAAACATTAAATTCAGCAGACTCTATCACCATCAGAGGTAGATTCTTCAGACTCACTATGAGTAAGGGAATAAGCTTGAGGTCAAACAACTTGTCATGTTTGAACTTGGGTAGGAGCTGAAGCTATAGACTTCATCATTCCCTACCCACCTATAGTCTTTTGTAGAGAGTTCCACGTGATTTCTTATCTTCAATGCTTTTCTGGCCAAGCGATGGACAATATCTTACGATATGATCAGAGTGACGACGCTAGTAGCTTGTATTAGAGTCCATCAAGTATTCAACCTTATGTTGTCTAAACACATTTGGCACAAGTGAATACAGTACTCTGAGTCGTACATCTGCTAAATCGACTATAGTTGAACTTAGACTTCTTCCCATTGGATCCCTCTAATAGATTCACATGTTCTCTTTCACTAATACTCTTCCTCATGTGTCTCTTTATACTACTTATGAGTAAGCTAATAATCGATCTCCCCTCTTCTAGTTTGTTCCACTAATACTGAATATTCATTGATCTCTAAAAGAACCAACGGTTGTCTGATCGGTTCCTATGATTTCAAAAGAAAATTGTACTTCTTCCCATTGGATCCCTCTAATAGATTCACATGTTCTCTTTCACTAATACTCTTCCTCATGTGTCTCTTTATACTACTTATGAGTAAGCTAATAATCGATCTCCCCTCTTCTAGTTTGTTCCACTAATACTGAATATTCATTGATCTCTAAAAGCACCAACGGTTGTCTGATCGGTTCCTATGATTTCGAAAGAAAATTGTTGCACTTTCTTCTGCAGTAGTGAAATAGATTCACATGTTCTCTTTCACTAATACTCTTCCTCATGTGTCTCTTTATACTACTTATGAGTAAGCTAATAATCGATCTCCCCTCTTCTAGTTTGTTCCACTAATACTGAATATTCATTGATCTCTAAAAGCACCAACGGTTGTCTGATCGGTTCCTATGATTTCGAAAGAAAATTGTTGCACTTTCTTCTCAACTGTGGCGCATAGCTTGACAATGCAATGAATTTTGCTCCATACTGCATGAATATCTTCTCTCCTTATACCAATCTGATAAATTTGTCATGCATTTGTCTTCAAGCAGATAGGAATACAAAGCACTCTCAGAATAACTCCATGAATTCCTCTCAACTTACCATCATCTTGGGTATGTCCTATAGCCTGTCTTGACAATGTCTGCACCACCTTCTTTCATCTTCTCCATCTATGACAAATGAAGGGAATGGCACCCTTTTTCATCCGGACAGACTATACCATCTAATATCTTCTCAATTGACATCAGTCAATTTTATGCTTCAATCGAATCATCAGTTCCCTTAAACAATTGTAGATGCAAATCTTGAAATATTTTTAAGTACTTATACAAAATAACTACAACACTTCCAATAGGCTGCAATCTGTACTTCTGAATCAGCTAAGCTATAACGACCATCATCAGGGTCAAGGCATTAATATTCAAATTTATAGTAGGTTATAATTCATCATTTTCAAACAGACTCCCTTCTTTTATAATTTCAAGTGTATCCCTTCCCTTTGTCTAAATTATTAATTTGAGCTAACATAAATTTTAGTTTTTATTATTATTAAAAAAAATTTATAAGATTATATTAATTAATCTTAAACATTAATTTATTTTTTTATTTTCTATAACTAACATTTTAATAAATGAAAGAATTATTATATAAAACCAAATATTAAAGTAGTACGATTAAAATTACCTCTTTACTGATTGATAGCACTTTCTATAAGCATTTCCTCTTTTGTCGCTCATCTTTTAAATCACTTAATTAAACTTGAAAAGTTAGTTTAAAATAACAATGAGTTAATCACAGTCAGTGAATGTTCATACTCCTAAGCTATAGTATCACAATGAAAAGAAAAATAATATGTATGGTCGTTAAGCCTTTAATAAATTAGTAACAAAACATTGGTTAGCTTATGAATATAATCGCTCACAATATTTCATAATATTTAAAGTGTTTTACAATATCAATAACATATATATATCATTTATATCTGTAAAATCGTTACAAGAGCACCATCTAAAATATATATCAGTTAAGGTACTTCAATATCAATTTCTTTTTCTATTACGTGCGCGGAAATCTTAACGTTCCCGCGCTAGTGTCATAAAAGAATGATTACATCATAATCAAGCAAACACATTCAAGCAATCTATGCAGCTCATATCATTCACAATTTTATATCACTTAATATGTAATATTTATTATTATAATACATAAAACATTCCACAATGTGTGACTACAAGTATTCATATTGAAATGAATAATTAAATTTAAGAATAGAGGAAATCAATTTCACTAATTAAGCATAATAATTCATATAACTCGTTTAGAAGGGATGATACAATAATCATGTCATAATTTAAGAGTAGTACGCACCTTAATGTCGATCAATTTGTTCTTAGATTTATCTTGCCTCGGCTCTTCTAAAATTGAAGCCTAAAATAAACATGGGATTTCATATTACTAAAAATATATTAATTTATTATTTTTATTAAATATTAACTTTACATTAAGTATTAAATTTCCATTATTTTTTATTATAAATAATATGACTTCATCTTAACATTATAATATAAATCATATTAATATAAATAAATATCCAATAACAACCCTAACTTTTTTTATTGCCTCCACCTTTTTCTCGATCCAAAAGTTCACTTTTATAGCCTAAATCTTGATTTCAAATGCACTTATATCTAACATTTAAATAATAAACTTTATATATATCTAAACTTTATACATATATATACATATATATATATATATA